CAGAAGGGCAACAGGAAGGCCGCCTGCCTTTGTGGGGGAGGAGTAGCAGGTTGCTGATAGGTTAATGACTGCCCAGGACGGGGTGGTTTTACCAAGGGACAGGAATTTTGATGAATGGGTGATTCTCCCAGTGGTTGGGGAAATGCCCAGCAAGCCTGTTCAGAGAGAGGCTACAGATGAGGTGAGTACAGTAAATCAGCCTCCAAGTTTCTCCAAGTTGACTGGTGTGCTGTGTAGGTGTACCTAGCCTGGGGAAAAGAGGAAGTGATTCAGTGCTGCACTGCCTAGGAAGGAACGTATTTCAAGTTGCTCCTGAGTGCCTGTCTTCCCATCCAGACGTGGTTGGGGACACCCTGTAGGGTCACGCAGCGCCCCTACATGAGAACCAAGCATTCTGGTAAACTTGTTAGCTCAGGCTTTCCTGAGGCTTCCTAAAAGTTGGTGACCTTGAGTCCTGGACAGCAGCTTGTGCAGAAGTGACACTTTCTGAGCAGCCCTAGGATGCTTAGGTGCAGCCTCTGCTTCTTGTGATGCTGTCTACCTAACTTCTTGCTTTCCTGAAGTCCTTGGCCATCCCCACTTGATAGGACAGATAAGAAACTGAGTTACAGCTGTCTGGGAGAACTACTAGTCCCTGGACAGCCACTCGCCACACTACAGGCCCTGCTCCTCCAGCAAGGCCACACGTGTGATTTTAACCACTATCATCTTACAGCCATGTGATGTCGGGAGAGCAGAGCCCCTTTATTAGGTGGGAAGTCTGAATGCAGACTGGGGGTCTGTGACAGGCACTGTAGGAACTGATAAAGCCTGGAGTCCCCCCTGAGGGCAGCATGGGACCTGCAGGTAGATGACAGCCTCTGGGCCAGCTGGGAACTACAGCAGCCAGGACAGCTAAAGGTGTTTAGTTCTCGGAGGACTGGAGAAGAAGCCATTTGACACCCAGAGTGAGAGTGACCAGATCAAGAAGTGAGGAACGATGCAGTCCCTTTAATGTGTTTCCCTGGGCAAGTGGTCACAGCACTGCTATAACATCCAAGGAGGACGCCACAGGGTGGAGGTCCTGGCACTCTCCTGTGGGGGTGGACAGAGGTAAAGGGGTCAGCAGCAGGTGCCAGTGCGGGCAGTCAAAGGTAGGGCAGTGGGAGCACATGGTGGCTGAAGGCAGGAAAGGGCAGCAGGGGCTCCCAAGAAGGAGCCGGGCTGCAGAACCGTTTACTAGGTGCTGAAAAGCGGCCTGGGAAATGTTCTTGGAAGGCTCTCCCTGAGGTTCTGGAGGAGGCCTGGGCAGTCTCCAGGAAGAGGCTGAAGGAGTGCAGCTCCTGTGGCTGTGGCCTTTGGGCTGTTCCTTGGGTAAGGACTGCAGGAGGGCTTCGCTGGGTGACAGGAGAGCAGTCCTGTTGAAATGGAGCAACCAGAGCCGGCAAGGCCAGTGGAGGTGCAAACTGTCATCACTGTCACTTGGCCAGCTATCCCTCAGGCAGGTCAAGCTGTGGTCTGTGGCTCATAGACAGGAAGCTGGCTTGAAAACAGAAACATCAGCCTTCTGGCAGAACACTGGCTTCAGTTCATGCCCCAGCCTCAGCACAGACTGGGAATGCATACTAGAAGTCTTCAGTTCTCTCCCAGGTGGGTAACTCTGGATGCCTTGTATTTTTTCCATTATCAGATCCCTCTTTTTGATGGTCAGATGAAACTGACAACTGTCAGGAAACCTTGGCTGGTGTGTTGGTGCATGTAGTCTGCATTTGTAAGGCAGAGGCCAAACACCCTGAATTCTAGGTCGGGCTGGTCTACACTGCAGGTTCTGAGGCAGCCAGAGCTACATAGTGAGATCATGTCTCAAAATAGAGCCCTTCCAAACCCACCACCACCAGAAAACCCCAAACTTATATCTTCAGTTCCACAAAGGGTAAGGGGCCAGGCCTCTGAGCTTCCTGGGTACATATTCCAGGTATGAGCCACCACACCCCACCACAGCCATTTCTGATTGCGTTCTTTCCACTCCCTTGGGGCTGGCGGTGCTAGATGGAGGTGGAGGTGCGGCCTACTGGCATGCCCAGTGAGATGACCACTAGTCCCTGTGACTGGACCATGAGAACAGCCTGGCTGCAGGTTAGGGACATATGCACGTGAGGTGAACTCCAGCTCTGGCGCTAAGTGCCCCTGACCCTGAGCGACCTTTCTTGATGGCCAGGACCCCATTCCTCTGGAGTTAAGGGAAGAGCTCCTCACAGATCCTGCGTGTGTCCTCAGGTGCTGTCACTGTGTAGCCCACAGTTCTGGGGTCTGTGAAGATCTCATGGTCATTACCACCCTGCAAAGACACAGAGAAGCAATAGGCTACAGTTTGTTCTGCTCCCTGGCGCTGCAACCCTGATGTTCCTAGCTTAGGGAGGTTTCTTCAGTTAATTTTCCCTTAGTTTCCAAGAAAGGAATGACATTTTAGTCACACCGAACAAGGAGCTTAACCTTCTCATGAACCGAGATCGAGCTCAGAACAGGTAATTATGCTCGTGAAAAGCACCAGACACCTTTGCGAGGATCTGGCAAAGGCTATGTTTTTAGTGAGAAAGAACAGCAAATGACAATCTCACAGCTATCAATTTGTCTTTGTGCCCAGATTTCTCCCGAAAGTGACAAGGAGTGTTGGTAGGACAGGTAGCCTAGAGTGGGGTTGCTCACACCCTGCAAAATGAACATGGCTGGCCAGTCTGCTCATAGCCACTGGCCACATACGGTGACTGAGCATTTGAAGTGTGGCCAGTAAGAGGGAAACAGTTAGTTGCGTTTATTCGATTTGTGTGGTATATGTATACATGTTCCTATGTGTACGCATGTATGCGTAGGGCAGAAGTTGATTGGCTATCTTTCTCCGTTCTCTCTATCTCATTTATTGAGACAGGTCTTTCACTGAACCTGGACTTCACTGATGAGTGCTAGGATCCACCTGCCTTTGCCTCTCCAGTGCTGGGATTATAAGCACACACCACTATGCCTGGCTTTTTACACAGGTGCCTGGTATCTGAAAAGTCTCTCACTTGGTGGCAAGCGTGACCATGAGCCACCTCCCCAGCTCTGAGTTTAATTATCATCACCGTCATCACCATTTCAGGAACTCAGACGACATAGCTACATCACCGTCATCACCATTTCAGGAAGTCAGACGACATAGCTACATCACCATCATCAATCACCATTTTAAACAAGTTAGGCTACATAGCCCAAGCTGGCCTCAAATTTAAGATTCCTGCTTTGATTTCCTTTAGCTAGAATTACCGACTCAAGCTACCATCAGGGATTTAATGAAATTTAAATGGCCCTCAGTGACTACTTGAGAAAAGACAGGAAGACAGAAGACAGGGTGGGGCTACAGAGTAGGCAGCAGTCTGAGGGAGCCCAATGGTAGGCAGAGATGGAGGGAGGGGTTGGCACAGGGATTCTAGAAGCCACCAACATGATGGAACTATAAGGAGAGGATCTCTCTGTAGAGTGGACCACAGGCATTTGGAAGCTGCTTTTGGTACAAAGTATCTACTCCAAACTGCAGTGGCTAAAAGCAGGGTGAATCCTTCATATCCTGTCTCAGCCCTAACTGTATGAGTGTCAGGCACCAATCCCATCTCACACGTTTCAAAACTGGAGGCAATAGAGTCGCTGTCCTAAACTGCAATCACCCAGGATTCCTGGAACAGCAAACTCTCCCAGTAGAACCCCACCCCAGAGGGCAATTATCCACCATGTGTGGCTGTGCCTGGAGCACTCCTCCTGAGGGCCAGTTTATTCCCAGCCGGAGAATTAAAACAGGCTGGATCCCACCTTCCTCCCTTGTGCAGACCTCCTCCTCTCCCAAGTCTGCCCTTTAAGCCTAAAGTGTCAGTTCCCTGGAGGTGGACTTGTGGTTACAGAGCCTGGGCTTTTGTCACAAAACTGGTTATGAATGGTTAGGGGTGGGGTGGGGGCAGAGAGAACAATTAAGAGGTTCCTGACAAAAACCACTACCTTAGAAGGAAAGAGCCAGAAGCAAAAGGCTTAGACTGGTCCTATGCCCGCTGCTACACCCACCACTGACCCACACAGCAGTCTCCATGATTCTGCTTTGATGGGCCAGGGAGCAGCACCTGTGAATGAGGACGGGAGCTGCTTGAGGAACTTGCTTTATAATGCCAGGTGTGGAAAATCAAAACTGGGCCGTCCCTAGTCCCAGGACTTGGGAGGCAGAGGCAAGCAGATCTTCATGAATTGGAGGCCAGCCTGGTCTACTGTGAGACCTTGTCTCAAAAACAAAGCCCAAGCTATACAGAGCATGGAACAGTGGGTCTGGGAACTGCAGGGTACACAGGCTGGACATGCATGGTCCTGATTCTGCTAGAACAAGCTCAGCCACCCCAAGCTCCCAGAACAAAACTATTCCCAAAGAAGAGAAGGAAGCTGTGCCTGGGAATGGGCCATCCTATCCCCAAGGCATCTGGAAATTAGCCTGTTACTATTTAAATTCTTAAAAGGCCCAAAGTCTGAGGATGGAAAGGGAGCCTGGGATTAATGAGCACTGGTTACCCTCCCAGTGCCGTCCAGTACAATGCCAGTACTGTCCAGAGCCTATGGGCTCCTTTTCACAGTGTACCCGCTGTGCAGACAGCCACCACAGCACAGACTGATTCTCTGTACACTTTAGCCTGCACTCTCATTGCACTGACTCCAGAGTAAATTTTACTATGGGCTTTTAGGTGAGGCAGGCACAGAAGTGAAATGGACTGTTCTCAAATGGAGCAGCTGCTCAGAGGTCAGGGAATCTGACAACAAAACACGCCTGCCCACAGGCGGTGGTGGCAGTGCATGCCTTTAATCCCAGCACTCAGGAGGCAGAGGTGGGTGGATCCCTGTGAGTTTGAGTTCAGTCTGGTGTACAAAGTGAATTCCAGGACAGCCAAAGTGATATACAGCAACTCTGTCTCAAAAAAAAAAAAAAAAAAAAAATATCAGCCAACCAATCAAACAAACAAAAGGCTTGCTGTAGACAGGGCCCAGGCTAGAGTCCTGAGGTTTTGAATGTAAACCTAAGGTGAGCCCCAGTTCTCCCAATCTAGAACTAGTATGTGGGGTGCAACATGGGCTGGGCTGCAGGCCCTGGAATGAAGGTCAGGTCTGTCTGTGGATGGCTTGAAACTTGACCACTGTTCCATTTCTCTAGTCAGTGGAGCAGGAGACAGCTGAGCCAGCCTTGGCATGACCATATATCCAGGAAACACTGATTCTGTGACCCCCAAGAAGTCAACTGCATACCAGAGATCAAAGCCTGTGCTTCTCTGAACAGAAGAAGCAAAGCCCAGACAGTGGTGAGGGGATGCTTCCACCCTGAAGAACCAGTCTCAAGATGAGTAGCCCATGCACTCTGGTGTTCAGGAAGGCAGGTAGACAGGCAGGGACCCAGGAAAGCCCTGAGCTAGTCTGAGGACCTCTAACCTGGTTAAAAACCCTGTTAGTTCAGGAAGCAGACAATGGAGAGCATGGGCTTACCCAGGTTCCCTTGGTAAAGGACTTCTGAAAGAACTGGGTGGAGAGAACACACTGTATGCTATCCCTGGCCCTCAAGGGCAGGACTCAGTCCAGGATGGCAGGTGCCCAGTTCTCACCCAAAGCATGGCTGAGGACAGTAGTGTGACTTCTGAATGCACACCCTGTCTAGGAAGGTGCCGGTGGCCAGGTAACCCTCTCTAGGGTTTTCTAACAAGCCTACCTCTCAATCTGTCACAGCTAACCTTTCTGCAACACTCTTAGAAGGCTAGAGGCTGAGCTGGGCTGTGAGCAGGCTCTGTAAAAAGATGCACTCCTTGGGGCTGGGGACGGTTTAGCAGTTAAGAAAACTGCTACTCTTCCCAGGGATCTAGGTTTGACTCCTAGCACCCACATGGTGGCTCATGGCTGCCTGTAAAACCAGTTTCAGGGGGACCTGACATCCTTTTCTGACTTCCACAGGCAACAGGCATGCAAGTGTACAGATTCAACACGTAGGCAAAACACTGATAAAAAAAAAAAAAAAAAAAAAAAAAAAAAAAAAAGAGTGGTTCCAGGATAGGCTCCAAAACCACAGAGAAACCCTGTCTCGAAACAAACAAACAAACAAACAAACAAACAAACAAACAAAAAAGAGTAATCCCAGACTACTTAAATTAGTCAAGCCCTGAGAGCTCCCAAGGCCTTGTTTCATCCTCACATGGTTCCTTTAGAAGGGGAACTCTTGCCCATCGGGGTTGTCAGAGAAAACAGGTTTGTGAGTCTCACTGCTGTGGCAAGTGGAGGGGTCATTTCCGGTCTGGGTGATTTACCATCACCCCTTGACCACCCTGAGCTGGTTTTCAAGGCAGATGTGCTCCTCAGACTGTGGGAGGGTGAAATGCTGCACACCGAATGGGAGGGCCCTTGGCAGGCTACAGCAGGGAGGAACGGTGTGGGGCTGGGTACAGGGAGCAAGTTCACTGAATGTGCAGCTCAGGCTGGATCCTGGAGGTATGTGAAGACCAGATCCTCTGCTTTCTTCACAATCAGACTAGTACTGAGCCAGTTCTGTCCTCTGGGAGACTTGGAGGAAAATATCGAAAAGAATCACATCTTGGAGGCAACCCCCCCGTTCCCCTGTACCCCCCCCCCAAGCAGTGACTGCTGTAACTTTTGTCTTTCAGACCCCTTTATGCACTTATGAGCTGACATGGAGAGAGATGACTTTTCCATCATTAGTAAAAACCACAGCACAATATTCTACTGTTCTGCTCCTTGCTAACACAACACTCCACAGACGGATGCATGGGGGGGGGGGGGCTGACTGCCATAATGAATAGACAGCACCTTAAGTGCCAGTCCAGCCCCCAGCCCCACATCCTGGTGTGCTCCATGGACTCACAGCTAGGTTACTCAGGACAGGAACACACAGGCAAATGCAAGGGTGGCTAATATTCCTTACTCACAAGAATGTTTGCAAATGCCTTCAACCAGAATGCTGCCCACAAGAAGCCTTTGAGATGTAGCCCTCCGTCCTGAGCAACTGAGTGCCCATTTGTTTCCCTTGGGGAGCCACTGAAATCAGGGGTGTGACTTTATTTCGGCTGGGTCGGCTGGCCTTTGGGGCCGAGGAACATTTTGGGAAGGCAGAACCTAATTTTTCACTCTGTTCTGACAGAGGCCACCCCTGTGTCCCAGCAGACCCTGATGGCAGAGGCTGTGCTGCCGCAGCAGGGAAGCTCCAAGGCAATTCTGTCCCTTTGGGCAGGAAATGCTTTTCATTGACAAAGCTCAGCTGAAAACCAGCAAAACCACGGAAGAAAAGCTTGCTGGGTTTGTGTGTGAGATGAGGAATTTGAGACAGGATCCCATTATGTAGCTCCAGGGCGACCTCAAACATGTAATCCTCTTGCCTCTGCCACTCAAGTATCAGGATTATAGGAATATACCACCACACCTGGTTCGATTTAAAATAATAAATGAAAAATGTAAATGAAGTCATGGCAGTGCAAGAGTTAAGTGGAGCAGCAAGCCCTCCGGCTACAACATGGTGCTCTGCTCTGCTCAGCAGTCACAGCAAGGCTCTGGACAGCACAGCCTCCCACACCACAGGGCTGGGGTCGGGTCGGGTCATTTCCAGAGAAGTCTTTTGTGGTAACATTTTGGAGAATGGCTGTGCTGTGCTGCTATTTTAACCTCAGGCCAAGGCTGCTTTGCTTCAGACCTGGCTGACTTGGAGCAATGGTCACGGTGGCCTTGGACTAGGACTATTACCTGGTCAGAGCTCTGCTACTGGGAAAAACTCCACACGTTTAAGCAGGCACAGACATTTATCTGGAGGCTGATCCCCAGCAACTCATAAGGTCCAATTCAGATAACCAGTTGCCCAAAGAAACAAACCCACACAGCTGTCCTACCTGATAAGACCTAAAGTACCAGGGCACTGTGACACTGCCGCACTGTCTCCCACTTAGAAGGCCTCTGCAGTCTCCCTGCCGTCCTGCCTGCTGTGGCTACACTGTAACATGCCTAATAAACTCTGCTTCTACCCTCTCTGGTGAATGGACTCATGGCTATGTATCACTGGCCTAGCATGCTGTCCTGCCACAGCATGTAGTAGTGGGCGTTAACAGATCTCTTTCCCTTCTGTAAGCAATGGGAGCCAGGATGCTGGAGGTGCAGCTCAGTAGAGTGCTTGCCTGACACACACACAGAACCCTGAGTGTGACTGCTAGCACTGCATAAACTGGGCGTGCTGGTGCAAGTCTGGAGCATTGGGAGTTGGAAGCAGGAGGGTCAGGAGTTCAAGGTCATCTTTGGCAACGCAGGGAATCTGAGGCCAGCTTGGGCTGAACATCTGTTTCAGAAACAATGAAATAAAAAGCAAATTAACAAACAAAAACAAATGGCACCAACCTAGGCCCAATGACACAGGCCTGTAACTCAGCTTCTTTGGAGGTTAAGGCAGGATGATTAGTCGTGAAAGGCCAACTTGGACTTTAAAGTGAGTTCAAGGCCAAAATGGCAACTTAATAAATCCCTACCTCAAAGTAAGAATAAACGGGCTGGGCAAGTAGCTTAGTGGTAGAGTTCTTACCTAGCATGTGTGAGGCCCTGGGCTCAATTCGCAATACTGAAAAGGGGTGAGTGGACACCAAGTCAGACAAAAGAAGCTTCCAGATATTCTTTAGATCCACAGCATAATTTCATTAGCTTAATTTTTTTTTTTTCGAGACAGGGTTTCTCTGTGGCTTTGGAGCCTGTCCTGGCACTAGCTCTGCAGACCAGGCTGGTCTCGAACTCACAAAGATCTGCCTGCCTCTGCCTCCCAAGTGCTAGGATTAAAGGCATGCGCCACCACAGCCCGGCCATTAGCTTAATTTTTAAGAAGACTTTAAGTCAGGTGATGGTGGCACACACCTTTCATCCTAGCACTCGGGAGGCAGAGGCAGTGAATCTCTGTGAGTTCAAGGCTAGCCTTGTCTACAAGAGCTAGTTCCAGGTCAGTTTCACAGAGAAACCCTGTCTCAAGGAAAACAACATCATCAACAACAACAACAACAACAAAAAGACCGCAAGTCTGATGTTACTCTTTCACGGTCTACAGTCAAAGTGTTATGTATCCCATGAAACTGACAAAGGGATCTGATCATAAACCATCATTAAGAAGGGTAAGGACAGATTCAACGCAATGCCCATCAAAATCCTTCAAAGACCTCGAAAGAACGGTACTCAACTTCGTATGGAAAAGCAAAAAACCCAGGATAGCCAAACAATCCTTTTTTACAATAAGAGAACTTCTGGAGGCATCACAATCCCTGACTTCAAACTCTACTACAGAGCTACAGTACTGAAAACAGCCTGTTATTGGCATAAGAACAGACAGGAGGACCAATGGAACCAAACAGAAGACCTGAATATCAATCCACACATCTTCGAACACCTGATCTTTGATAAAGAAGCAAAAGATATCAAATGGAAAAAAGAAAGCATATTTAACAAGTGGTGCTGGCATAACTGGATATCAACATGTAGAAGAATGAAAACAGACCCATATCTATCACCATGCACAAAACTCAAGTCCAAATGGATCAAAGACCTCAACATAAAGCCAGCCACACTGAGCCTTATAGAAGAGAATGTATTGGCACAGGGAACCATTTCCTAAATATAACTCCAGCAGTACAGACACTGAGAGAAACAATTAATAAATGGGACATCCTGAAACTGAAAAGCTTCTGTAAAGCAAGACATGGTTAACAAGACAAAACGACAGCCTATAAAATGGGAAAAGACCTTCACTCATCCCACACAGACAGAGGTCTGATCTCCAAAATATACAAAGAACTCAAGAAACTGGACACCAAAAGATCACATAATACAATAAAAAAAAATGGAGTAGAGACCTAAACAGAGAACTCTCAACAGAGGAATCTAAAATGGCTGAAAGACACTTAAGGAAATGTCCAACATCCTTAGTCATCAGAGAAATGCAAATCAAAACAACTCTGAGATTCCATCTTACACCTGTAAGAATAGCCAAGATCAAAAACACTGATGACAACTTATGCTGGAGAGGATGTGGGGAAAAGGGAACACTTCTGCATTGCTGGTGGGAATGCAAGCTGGTACAACAACCCCTTTGGATGTCAGTGTGGCGATTTCTCAGAAAATTAGGAAACAACCTTCCTCAAGACTTAGTAATACCACTTTTAGGTATATATCCAAAGGATGCTCAATCGTGCCACAATGACATGTGCTCAACCACGTTCATAGCACCATTGTTTGTCGTAGCCAGAACCTGGAAACAACCTAAAAGACCCTCAACCAAAGAATGGATAAGGGAAATGTGGTACATTTACACAATGGAGTACTACACAGCAGAAAAAAAATGACAGCTTAAATTTCACAAGAAAATGGATGGAGCTAGGAAACATTATTTTGAGTGAGGTAACCCAGACTCAGAAAGACAATTATCACATGTACTCACTCACAGGTGGTTTTTAAACATAAAGCAAAGAAAGCCAGCCTATAAACAACAATCCCAGAGAACTTAGACAACAATGTAGACACTAAGAGAGACTTACATAGATCTAATCTTCATGGGAAGCAGAAAGTAGAAAAAGACAAGATCTCCTGAGTAAATTGGGAGCATGGGGCCTTGGGGGAGGGGTGAAGGGGGGAGGAGAGGCAGGAAGGGGAGCAGAGAAAAATGTAGAGCTCAATAAATACCAATTTAAAAAAAGGGTAAGGAACCAAAATAAAACAAATTAAAAAAAATAAAACCCAAACGGGCATGGTGGCACACACCTTTAATCCCAGCACTCGGGAGGCAGAGGAAGGAGGATCTCTGGGTTTGAGGTCAGCCTGGACTACATATTGAGTTCCCTGACAGCCAGGGCTACACAGAGAAACCCTGTCCTGAAAAACCAAAACAGCCAGAAATGGTGGTTCACACCTGTAATCCCAGCACTAGAAGCTGAGGCAGGAGGATTACCATGAGTTAGAAACCAGCTTTCACCACCAAGAGACAAAAATACGGAAATATAAACTCAAGGCTAGCTTCTACACTGTTTCTCCTTGAGGATGTGGCATCAGATTCCCCCACTGGAGACAGTCCATGGTACTAGAATGCTCTCTTATCTCAAGAGCAGACTTCTTCCCAGGACTGGATCTGAATTCTTTTAGATCTATACTCATCAGTGTGATTACTGGATCATATGAGGTTCTATTTTTAGCTTTTCTTCTTTTATTTATTTAACAGCTATTCATATTGACTGCATCATCTACTGTTCTGAGGTAAAGGGGCACTGATTTCTACCTTCTTTTGTGTGTCTGTTAGTAATGGCCAGTCTAGGGGGAGGAATGTGGCTCTCACTGTGGCCTGAACTTTCATTCTTATGATCTATGATTACAGGTATCAACTCCACTGTGTGTCTTACTTGGTGCAGTCAGCCTTCAAATATGTTAAATCGGTTTTTTAAAAATTATTTTCTTTGTATGGGTGTTTTGCCTGCATGTATGTCTGTGTACCAGAGTGTGCCTGGTACACAGCGGCCAGACAGAACAGGGCATTAGATCCTTATGCAACTGGAGTTTATATGGATTGCGGGCCACCATGTGGTGCTGGGTTTTGAACCTGGGTCTTTGGAAGAGCAGCCAGTGTTCCTTCCACTGAGTCATGTCTTCTGCCCCTTAAATCAGGTTCTTACTTTGCTGCTGAACTGCAGGAGTCTCTGATGTATTTTGGATGGACAGACATGGTTTGTGTTTTCTCACACTTCATAGGCTGCCTTTTTTGGGTTTTGTTTTTTGAGAGAAGAGTCTCTGTGTATCTCTGGCTGGCCTGGAACTCACTGTGTAGACCAGCTTTGCCTTGAGCAAACAGATCCACCTGCTGCTGCCTCCCAAGTGCTAAGATTGAAAGTATGCGCCACCACCCCCAGCCACAAGCTGTCCTTTCCTCTTGAGGTTTCTTTGCTGTGCAGCGGCAGTATTTGTCAGGTCCAGGCCTGCTTGTTCACACGGCTTCCTGTGCTGGTGCTTTCGGGTTAGCCCAAGACAAGTATCCAGAGGCTGCTTCCTGTCTTTTTTTTTTTTTTTTTCTAGGAGATGTGCATTGTCAGGCTCACAGATAAACAACCAAACACAGTGAAGCCGCAGTCCCCGTGCAGAGAGGCGGTACTTGCTGACAATGGAAGGATAAACAGCATACTCACACAGTGCAGGATTATCCACCCTTAACAGAGGAAATCTGCTTGCCTCTGCCTCCCCTGTGCTGGGACTAGAGGTGTGCACCACCACTGCCTGGCAGCAAAGGAAATTCTTATTGCTGTTTGTAAGGACGGACCTGGAGGATGTTACACTAAGTGAAATAATTCACTGTCACCAGGGACCCTGCTGGAGGTAGACCTCTGACAGGGCCGGTCTTGACAGAGCAGCCATCAAAGGGACCAGCGCTCCATAGCATTTACGATACCTTACTGGCTTCAGAATGTAATGCTTGAGAGCCAGAATCTCTATAGCAGAAGGGTGGGAAGCAGAAGGGCATAGTAAGTAAGAGACCCAAGCCCAATCATAGGCAGTGAGCAGCTGGTACTGAGGCTCCTCTTAGGCCTTGGATGGTGGTAGCAGATACTCGTCCAAGGAGAGCCTCACAATTATGCCAAATGTCTCTGAGGAAATGGCTTCTTTGTGCCCCTCTCTGGCACTGGCTCTTCCTGTGTGACACCCTAGGCAGGTCCTCCCTCCAGTGATCCCTGACCAACTGAGGACAGACTCAGGTACTTGCACATCTCTCATGTTTATGAGAAGACTCTATCATGCAATCTACAGTGAACATGGTAGCAGTCATAAAGCAAGACAATAAAGCCACAATGGTGAAGGCATTGTTTGCTTATTTTGTTTTTTCTATACAGGGTCTTGTGGCTGGCCTTGAACTCAGAGATCTGCCTGCCTCTGGGGTGTTAGCATTGAAATGCAGAGGTTCGACAACAGGTGATCTGAGAGCAGCCTTAAGTGGGAAGTACTTAATTCAAGAGGCAGACTGAAAATGACCTATAGTCTTTGCTTCCACCGGGTCAGGGCCTCAGAGCTCTAAGGGAAGGGAGGCTAGAAGGTCCAGCAGGTAGAGTGTGAGATGGCAAAACAGCCTATTGGAACGTTCCCTCTCAGAGTCCAAACTGCACAAGAGACTTTCCTACTTACCGGCATAGTCTTGTCTCCAAAGAAATAAATGGTCTTGTAACCATCATGTTCTAGGTGTCTCAGGCAATACCGCTTGTCCCACCCATCAGGAAAGACGTCAAAGCTGATTTGGCCCCCTGCAGGATGGGAAGGGGACACACCAAGAAGGTGAGGCTAAGGAGGGCCTAGGAGGGTTGGGAATGGGGCTCAACAGTTAGAGGGCTTGCCTAGCAGGTCTGGGCTGAGTACAACCCCAGCACAGCCTAGATGAGAGGAGGGAGGGTAACACCCTTAAGAAGAAGATAATGCAGCTTGCTTTTTTATCTATCTATCTACTTATATTTTGATATATTTATTCACCACTTAATGCTACTTATGGACAGGTTCTTTGCTGTTTTTCCCAGAATTATTTCATCTGGGTCTAAGCGATCATCTCTCTTTGTGCTTCTTCAGGGAAGAGACTTACAAGTTTAAATAAGGCAGGCTTAAGTAAAAACCTAATAAGGGCTTCCCTTATGCAATGGAACCATCTGGCATTTAATATACCCTGAGTCAGGCATGCAAGTGCATACATGCCATCCCCACATTCAGGAACCTGAGACAGGAGGCTTATGGTGAGTTCAAGGTCAGTCTGGGCTTCATGTGAATTCTAGGCAAGTCTGGACTACAGAGGAAAAACCTAGCTAAGCCAAACCACCATCAGTGGAAAATCTAAAAGCAGGCTGTATGAGCTCATCCTGGAGACAATAGGCTCATTAAATAAAAGATAACTTATAGGTAGGTACCCCCTAAAATCATCCATCGTGCCGTCCATCTGTTTGTCCACCCATCTATCCATGTGTATGGGTGTTTTACCTGCATGTATGTCTGAGGAAACCCTGGTGTCAGAAACCCTGGAACTGGAGTTATAGATGACTGTGAGCTGTCATACTGATGCTGCAAATTGAACACATGTCTTCTTGAAGAGCAGTTACTACTCTTAGCTGCTGAGCTAGTTCTCCAGCCGCTACGTGGGTACTTTTCAAGCAGAAAAAAAAAAAAAAAAAAAAAAAAAAAATCAACCCACCAAGGGGGCGGGGAAACAAACTGCAAAACATTTTCAAAGTTATTAGAAAGGCATTCAGTTAACAGTTCAGGAATTATTAAAAAATCTTCCTGATTGTGTCTGACACGTGGTTCCTTTGCAAGGCCATGTGCTGGCAGAGCTAGAGGGCTTTAAGTCCAGACTGATAGTGTGGCCAGGAGAAGTGGACATGTTTGAAGCATTTAATAGGAAAAGATATACTAGACAGACAGCTCAGTGGTTAAAAGTGACTGCTGTCAAGACCTGAATTCAGTCCCTTGGGGTCCACGTGGTAGGAGAGAACCAACTCTTCACAGCTGCCCTAGGACCTGCACACATGTGTTGTAGCCTGTATGCCCCACCCCCAATAAACTGAAAATGTAATAATAAAACATAACACGTATCTGCTACCAAGTGATGACAGAAGTCAGGTTAAGTTTCTGTACCACTGGCTCAATGACAGTCAGCACAGGCTTTGTGAGCCTGAACAACTCTCTGTTGCTTTCTGAGTCTGATTCTTTTTTTTTTTTTAATATTTATTTATTTATTAATTTATTATGTATACAATATTCTTTCTGTGTGTATGTCTGCAGGCCAGAAGAGGGCGCCAGACCTCATTACAGATGGCTGTGAGCCACCATGTGGTTGCCGGGAATTGAACTCAGGACCTTTGGAAGAGCAGGCAATGCTCTTAACCACTGAGCCATCTCTCCAGCCCCCTGAGCCTGATTCTTGCTCTGTAAAAGCCACCCACTAATTTCTGTGATTCCTTAATAGTGACACACTACAGGATTTCAAGACATCTTAGTCTACTTCATCTGAGAGGCTCACTGTCCAACACTCCTGGAGTTCAGCAAGACTTCTCTTCCATACAGAGGTGTGAAACTTTTACTGTTCACACAGCAAGATACAGCTCTTCTGTGTAAGAGAGAAGAGCAGGCAGAAAAAGTCCTGCTGGGTGCAGAGGTAGAACCAGACCCAACAGCATGGAACCACTTCCTGGCTTGGGGGTATCCTGCTGTGGTTGCTTGTCTACAGTCTGCCTGTGTAACTGTGGTAGAACAGTAAAAAGTCTACACCAGGATTAGCATGTTGCTTGCTGGGAGGTGGTGGCCTCACGCCTTTATTCCCAGCACTGGGGAGGCTGAAGCAGGTGGAGCTTTGTGAGTCTGAGGCCAGTTTGATCTACAGAGTGAGTTCAGGACAGCCAGGGCTATATAGAGAAACCCAGTCTGTAGCTCCAGTTCCAGGGCATCCACATCCTCTTCTGGCCTCCTTGGACAGTGGACGTGCCCATGGTACTGACACATACATGCAGGCAAAACATTCAAACATAAAGTCTTGAGAGAGAGTAATAAGTAAAAGTTTACAGTTTGCAGAGGAAGACTGGAAGCTCTTTCTAACCCCGCATCACCTTGTGAACAGGGCACCGCAGCAGCCCACCACACGCTCTAGCACACAGGGACCAGAGCCTGGGGATGCACCGTACCTATGGAGAATGTGAGGCCTTTCCCTGCAAATTCCTTCCTCAGGTCCTCTACGAATTTCTGTCGTATATTTTCTTTCTGAGAGATACAAAAAGACACCAATTGTCCATTACATCACAGTGCAGAAGCATTTTAAATACTGCCCACAGGCTACACGGTTGGGCTTTTCTTCTCAGACCTGGCCGTTGTCCAAGTGTGCCCGAGAACTTACTTTATCAAGTTCGTAGAACTCAATTCGTTCTTCTTGGCTGCAGCTTCTCCCAATAGGGGACACGTTCAACATGCCATTTCGGAATTCAATGAAAGTTCCCCTGGGCAGGAACAGCATCAAAATACAAAATACCTTATTTACTCGGGCAACATTACATTCTAGAAGCAGGAGTATGTGACCCAGGTGTCTCATGGGTTGTACACCTTGGAAGCTTTGAGTCACATAGTATGACAAACTCAAAATGTGGCTAACTCAGATTGAGATGGATGGAGACTTAGCATGGAAAAGGAATGGAGTCATCTTTGCAGATTTTTATGTGTGTGTGCATGTGAATGTGTGTGAAAGCACTAGAAGTCAGAGGTCTCCAGCGGTGTCTTCACTGACTGCTCTCCACCTTATCATCTCTCACTGAGTCTGGAGCTCCCCAATTCAGCCTACAGTGTCTGCTCAGTGAGCCCCAGGGACTGGAAGCATGCTCTACCAGGGGGCTAGAGAGCAAACTCGGGTACTCAGGCTTGAGCAGAAAGTTTTTTACTGGCTGACCTACTTTCCCAGCTTTATTTCTTTTTTGAGCAAAGCAAATGGAGATGTAGTAAATAACAAAATCAAGAACTCCCAAGAGGGAGAAGGACCCCACGGGAGGAATAGTCCACACCCCACTTTCTGAGACAGGGTCTTATGTAGCCCAAGCTGTCCTTGAACACGCCATGTTGCAGATGATACATGGGATTACAGGCTTGAGGAACCATGTCTCACTAGTTATAATATTTCACAGACTATTTAATAAAGTGATGTTTGGATATACGGGGTTAAGCAGGGTGTGCTATTAAAACAATTACCCTGTGGCTCACTGTTTCTACTGCAACTGATCAGGATGTCTCCTGTGCTAAAGGCTGGGAAAGGACCCCAGCATAAGGGCACTTGCTCCTTCTGCAGTCTCATCTGTGTTGTTAGTGAGCTCTTGAGGAGAGTGATGTCATTAAGGGAGGACCCAGACAGGTTCTGAGACTATGGTTCACAGAGGAAACTATTTATTCAGAGGCAGACTGCTTATTCAGGCTTGATGTGACCACAGAAAATAAAACATGCCAACGGTTTCAGATATTCCAGGGAAGATACCTAGAAACTTTTTTAAATCGTGTTTTTAGTTTTAGACTCAGAATATATATTTAAATTTCTGTTTTTAGAGACAGCATTTCTTTGTGTAACAGTGCCCTGGATGTCCTAGAAGTTGCTTTGTAGATCAGGCTGGCCTTGAACTCATAGAAATGCCTGGCTCTGCCTCCAGAAAGCTGGGTTTAAAGGCTAACATTTTTACAAATTTATTTTGTGAGGGGCAGGTCAGAGAGGCATGCGTGGGAGTCAGGTCTTTTCTCTCTGCCATGTGGGCCCAGGCATGGGTGTCCTGCTCCAAAACTCTGCTTCAGTCCTCTGAGACAGTCTCTTCACGAGCCAGACCAGATGGTGGGCCAGCAAGTCCCAGTGGTCCTGTCTGTCCTCCACAGTGCTCAGATTATATGTGCACACGTGACTACGGCTGACTTCTGTGAGGTCTGGGGATTTGAACATGGCTCTTCATGTTTGCGCAGCAAGCACTCCTCCTCAGTGAGTCTAGAACCCTCTAACCCCATAAAGTAATTTTCTTTAAGCTATGCAGGCCAAACACATTTGGTTTTGTCTATCTACCCTGGAGACCTCCTGAGACTTACAGATTGTAGGCTTCTGATGCCTTTTAAAATTGTGTGTGTGTTGTATGCATGTGTACATAATGCATGTGTGCACACTAGTGTTTGACATGGTTTTCACCACTGCTCTCCAGCTTATCTTCTAAGACAGTCTTTCCTTGGAGCCAGACCTCACTGCCTGACCAGACTCCCAGGAGACTTTGTCTCCGCCCCTCATGGCTAGAGTTTCAGACATGACAATACTCAGTTTTTACGTGGGTACTGGGGATCTGAACATTGGCCCTCGTGCTGCTGTGACAGGTACTTTAGCTATAGCAAACTCCCAAGACCCTTTTGTTCTTTTTTTTTAAATTTTTTAAAACATATTTATTTACTTATTATGTATATAATATTCTGTCTGTGTGTATGGCTGCAGGCCAGAAGAGGGCACCAGACCCCATTACAGATGGCTGTGAGCCACCATGTGGTTGCTGGGAATTGAACTCAGGACCTTTAGAAGGGCAGGCAATGCTCTTAGCCTCTGAGCCACCTCTCTAGCCCCCTTTTGTTCTTTTTAAAGATTTATTTATTATGTGTACAGTATTCTGCCTGCATGTATGCTTGCACACCAGAAGAGGGCACCAGACCCCATTACAGATGGTTGTGAGCCCCCACGTGGTTGCTGAGAATTGAACTCAGGACCTATGGAAGAGCAGCCAGTGCTCTCTCTTTTTTTCTTTTTAAAATTTATTTAATTTTATTTTATGTTCATTGGTGTGAAGGTGTTAGATCACCTGGAACTGGAGTTACAGACAGTTGTGAGCTGTTATGTAGGTGCTGGGAAATTGAACCCATGTCTTCTGGAAGAGCAGTCAGTGTTTTTAACCCCTGAGCCATCTCTCCAGCTCCCAAGACCATTTTCTGAGATAAGGTCTTACTCTGTAGCCCAAGCAGACAAGAAACTCACTATGGAGTCTAAAACACACAGCAATTCTCCTGCCTCAGCTTCCTACATACTGGCTGACAGCTGACTCATCACACCTGCCCCACCCCATTTTGTTCAAAAGAGGGTCTGTGTAGCCCTGGCTGTCCTGAAACTTCTCTGTAGACCAGACTGGCCTCCAACTCAGAGATCCACCTGCCTCTGCCCTTGAGTGCTGGGATTAAAGGCGTGAGTGCACCACTATACCTGTCCCCCCCCCCCCCCCTTAATCATCTAGCTATAACTTCCAAGATGGCCCTCAACTTGTGATCCTCCTGCCTCAGCCCCTCTAGCACTGAGATTATAGGCAGATGCCACCACATCAGGCTCCGTGCTCTTTACATGCTATTTCACAGGAACTCTCCTGACAGCCCAGAGCTGGCACAGGTTTCAGTGTCTGGTCTGTACAGCACTCCATCACACGGGTGGGCACCCTTTTTACAACCATCTTCATGTGGTTGGCTATATAAACTATTTCCAAGTAGTTTTACTAAGTGCTGGGTTCTGGTCATGAATCCACCTAAAGAGTCCACGGCTCAGCTGGACAGTGGTGGCGCACGCCTTTTAACCCCAGCACTCGGGAAGCAGAGGCAGGTGGATCTCGTGAGTTCCAGGTCAGCCTGGTCTACAAGAGTGAGTACCAGGACAGGCTCCAAAGCTACAGAGAAACCTGTCTTGAAAAATAAAGAGTCCACTACTCCATACCTTAGAAGAGCCTCCTTTGTTAAGAGCGAACCCACCTTTTCTTAGGGAGTTTAATTTTTGCAATGTAGCTCAGACAGTAGTTGATCAGGTCTTGGATCACTGCCTCCCCCAGATGACCTTGAATACTCTAGGTAAACAAAGCATGAGTTATTTGATATAATAGGAAGTACTTTCAAAATGGCTTCACGGCAAACCCAGATCTGACAATACTGCCAGAAGTCACAGGCTGACTCAGCCGGGACAGTGACATACCCTGCTGTCCTTTCACCGCTTTCTCTTTTCTAGTGGTGGAAAACATCAGGCAAAGCACAGACCCCTCGGTCAGAAGCACCTTTTGCTTCATTACTCAAGGATTCGTGTTCATTCTCTTTCACACTTTCCGGATGGGCCAGAGAGCTTCCTGCAATTGCTCTAAGTATTAAGTACAGCTTCTCTTCCATAGCCCCTGGCTGAATGTGCTCTAGCTTTAGCTATTGTAATAGAAACACTGAACTCAAGCAGCTTTAAAAGCCCATTATAAAGATGCAGTCACTATCTGGAACAAGCAACAGCTGTGTGGGGCAAAATTCAAACTTGACAAAGAATACAGTGTGAAGATTCCCTCCCTCCCACCGAGCTCCAGCACGTGCCCGGAGGCATTCAATCATTATCACATGTAATGTGTCGTTCTATGCCCCTTTTCTTTATTGTTTTTATAAATTTTGAGACACTGTCTCATGAAGCTGCCCAGGTTGATCTTGAACTCACTTTGTAGCTCAGGGAGCCCCTGAACTTTTGACCTTCCTGCCCCAGACGTGTTGATTTACACAACATGTTAGTAGTTATACAGAACGGGCTGCATACTTAAAAACTTACCTGTTTACACAAAAGTTTCCCATCTTTGTATGCTACCAGGCCATTCTCTGGAAACACATAATCGTATTTCTCAACCACTACAACCAAAACAAGATAAAAACTGAGGATGCATTGAATAGAAAGAAACTTGTCTTTCTCTTTCTTCCTCAACGCCTTCCCGCAAGGCACCTGCCGGCTGTGCCAACCTTCTCATCAAGAGGTTGAACTTCGACAGCAGCTTAAGTCTAGGCGATCACAGACCCTGCCTCCAGCCTGCCAGTGTGTAAAGTAAGATGCTGGTCCCTGCCGCCTTCCAACCCTGTCATGAACCAGCAGGAAACAAGGGACAAAGAGGACGGCCACCCTCAGCTCTCAGGCTTTCCAGATCAGGTTTGACAGGCTCAATTTAAAAATAAAAATTATTTTGTGTGTATGTATGCACTTGGGCATGTACACACCATGGTGTGTGTGTGTGTGTAGGTCAGAAGACAACTTGTGGGGTTGCTTCTCAACTTCTCTGTGGGTTTAGTACTGAACCTGAGTTAACAAGTACCTTTACAATTTCCCCAACCTCAAAATAATGTTTTTATAAAAATTTTAAAAAGCTGTTTTAAAAAGATGATTCTTATACTCATTTAGACTTGAAGACTAATACATAACCCACAAAAGGTCTGCCTGCCTCTGCTTCCCAAGTGCTGGAACTAAAGGCATGTGTTACTATGCCCACCTGTTTGTTTTTGAGACAGGACCTCATGTAGTCCAGGTTGGCCTTGAACTCATTATATAGTCCAGCATCACCTCCAGCTCACAGCAAGTCTCCTGAGTGCAAAGACTACGGGTATGTCCACTACACCTGCTGAGGCTGATGCAAGGTGAGCTTTTAGCTGCCTTCTAGTATAAGTGTTTTGACTCTCGCTTGTTACAACTCTCAAACACCTAGCTCTGGTACTGTGATACAAAACCTCTCAGAGTACGCTGTAAGTACATTCTGAAGGTAGGGATGGTGATCAACCCCTGTGATGGGATTCTTCTGGGCTACATATGACTTGTTACTAATAGCATTTCTAAAGAGAGTACCTCCAGGAAGATGAAGTAAACGTGTCCTACAGACTGCAGAACTGACTCTTCCAGTATCTGATATGACCCAGACTTGTACTTTCAGATAGACATGCCGAATTCCAAACCATGGCAACATGATGCCCAGGACACACTGGACAATGTTTGCAGACAGCCTGAGTTATCAAACTGTGTGTGGGTGCCTGTGTGCATGCACTCTACTGCCTACTAGTGGTCAGAGATGGTACTAGGCATACTACAATGAACTAAACTGCCCAATATGTCCTTAGTACTAACATAACCCTAGGACAACAGTGTGCTTTTGTCTATTTTAAACTCATGTTGGTTTGAAAGAAAAAAAGGAAGGAAGGAAGGAAGGAAGGAAGGAAGGAAGGAAGGAAGGAAGGAAGGAAGGAAGGAAGGAGAGAAAGAGGAAAGAAGGGAAGGAGGGAGGGAGGGTGAGCGAGCAAGCTGGGCAACGGGAATTCCAGCACTTGGGAAGAGGAAAGAGGCGAATCTCTGTTGAGTTCGAGGCCAGCCTGGTCTGCAGAGAGAGTTCCAGGACAGCCAGGACTACACAGAAAAACCCTATCTCAATAAAAAAAAAAACAAACAAACAAAAAAATTATTTGATATATATTAGTATTTTGCCTTCATGGACACACGTGCACCTCATGGGACTGGAATTACAGACAATTGTGACCTGCCATTGGGCCTGGGAACTGAACCTGAGTCCTCCATAAAAGCAGCAAGTGCTCTTAACTGCTGCTAAGCCATCTCTCCAGCCCCGCCTGACTGCAAACTCGTGACTCCCCTGTCTCAGCCTCCCAAGTGTTTGGTTCACAGGAGAGCATAACACACTACAACAGAGAGAGAACTATTCATTCATGGATCTCTCTACTCACTGCTTCTCAGAGGCCGGCTACCCCAGAAACCCTGGGAAAAAAGACAAGTAAGACACTGTCTGGAAGACAACAAAGACTGAGTTTACATCAGAGTGCTCATCAGCAGAGCTGGGCACCACAATTTTGGTGGGATACTTGCTAAAATATATGTCCAGGTGTTAGAGACCTGCTGTTCCACCATCACCAGGAAAGAAGCCAAGAGACTCTCCAGCTGGGTGTGGTGATCGATGCCTTCACTCCAGCACTAAGGAGGTGGAGACAGGATGACAAGGTGAGTCTGAGTCCAGTCTGGGCTACAGAGTGAGACCCTATCACAAAGGCTCTCTATCTTCCCAGTCCTGTGCTGGAGACCCTGGTGATGTGGGGAGCCTAGTGACTCTCATGATGAGGGAACCCTGGAACACACTCCATTAGGGCTACAGGGACAAGGTACTGAGACGAGAGGGATATAAATTTGAGCCGACAGCACAGCCAAGAGCTGGGGCCTGGTCTGAAGTGAGAGCAGTGAGGACATGAAATACTAGAGGGAGAAAAGGTCCCACAAGTGAGACCTTCAAGGTGAGTCTAACTGGAAACCTGAGTCAAGGATTCTATTAAAGATCACAGAACTTACTTTTATAGGGTTAAAGCAAAGGCCAAATAAGGGTAGAGAAAATGTTTTCCCAGAGAAGGTGGAAAGTGTGCTACATGAGTGATGGTGGCTTGGGACTGCAGCGGACACTGGGCGGCAGGTCTCAGTATCATCAGAAGTTAATCCTGCTAGAATGGAATTAGCACTTACCATCACTTCCCAGTTGCTCTTGCACTTTCTCAAAATCTGACCCACCTACCACTCCAATTTTGGTCTTCTGCCTCAATTTTTGTAGAAAGCCATCCATGTCTTTTGTAATTTTCTACATGTCAGGAAGGAAAACAGGACGATTCTGAGTGATAATAATCAGATGAACTGCAAACTAATTTAGCTCTGATTTTTACACTAGGTCTGTAGAAAAACTTAATATTTAGTTATATCTATTCCCACTTGTTTAGTCACACACATACACACACACAGTTGGCAACAACTTGCTTTTTCCATTTTATGTTGTGGTGACCTTTTAATAAGACATAGCTCTAGCTTATTCCTTTTTGTCTGTTTTGTTCAAATGTATCTCTGTGCTGCATCCATACAGTGCCTGAGGAGGGCAGAGATCACCTAGAACCAGAGTTGCAGATGGTTGTGAGTCACTATGTGGATGCTGGATCCTTTGGAAGAGTCGTCAGTACTCTTAATCATGGCACCATCCCTTCAGTCCAATCTTCTGTTGTTTAAGGTTTTTTTTAATACTACATGCGTATGATTTAATACGTCAGAAGTGGGTATAGTGTCACAAGTCTGTGATACAACACTTGGGAAGTGGAGGCAGGAGGATCAGGAGTTCAAGGTCAGCTTTGGCTACACAGCTGGATCTACTGTCTTTTAACAGATACAAAAACAAACTACAAAGAGGTGAGGTAGCATGATGATCGTGGTCTAGAAAGTTATTAAGCAAGAGGAAATGCAAAATTATTATGATGAAATGTCAGCTGCTTTTAACCAAATTGACAGGGATATGGGTTCTCTGTTCACTATTTCTGTCAATGATCTCTGTGTGAGTTTTCAGGATGCCAGAACTGGAAAATGATGGAGGCTTATGTCCTTTTTTCTTTTTTTGAAAGCTTTTCTCAAGTCCTACTGTTTAGGGATGGAATGACATGTGGAAGAAAACACCCAGGAAGACAAACTTCTACACAAACAGGGAAATGTGCAGACGTCTGGATTCCATGCTAACTAGACTGAACCCAGGCAGGTCATATCATGTCACAAGAACTGCGATAAAAGATAACTTGTTCTTCCTCTTCCAGACCACACTGTGATTAGTGACGTTTAAGAATACACAAGGATGGAAGCAGGAAAGGCTGATGATAACAGATCTGTGCTAAAATATTTTAATCACAGTACCCAGCTCTTTCAAATTAGTTTTGTTTTATTGCTACAATTGCTTATGATCATTGCAAGCATATTGTTCCAAATGCGTGAAAGGGAATACACTCTGGATCACCTACCTGGCTTCTCTGCTATTTTATACTTCATGCTTACCTAGCCCCATTTACCCGGGAAACAGAAGCACTTTCTCAATATCTAGTACCTGGAGTGGCTCCACCCTAGCAGTGAAAGGAAATGACAAACTGGACAGCTAACAGTGCCCGAGACCCAGGGACTTTCACCATCACAGCTGCTATGAGAAGCTGAGGCAGTCAGGACTTCACTGGTTTCAGTTTTCTTACGTTTGAATGGTAGTAGCTAGTAGGGCAGTGGTGCGCACCTTTAATCCCAATACTTGGAGGCAGAGGCAGGTGGATCTACAGAGCGAGTTCCAGGACAGGCGTGGCTACACAGAGAAACCCTGTCTCAGGGGATGGGGTGGTAGTAGTAATTGTCCCGCCCAGGAGGAAAGGTAGTGGAAGACTGCAGGTTCAACACCGTACAAAGGCTTAGGAATGGAGACTCCTGACCACTACTGCTCCTGGACCAGACTGAACAATGGTTTGTCTCTATAATTTTTATTATGTATGTACATGCATGTACATGTGCCACAATGTACAAGGGGAGGTTAGAAGACAACTTGCGGGTGTTAGTTCTCTCCTTCCACCATGTGGGTTCCAGGAATTGAACTCAGTCAGGTCCCAAGGCTTAGGGGTAAATGAATCTACCCATTGAGCCATCTCAGTGGCCTCTGTAATAAATTAGAACATAGCTACTCAAGTTTACATATGGTCTGTGGCTGCTTTTGCACTAAAGTTGAGTAGCTACTACAGGCCATGTTTTACAGAGACAAAAGTACTTAATATATAGCCCTTTACAAAATATGGATTCTGCTTCCTGTTCTAGACTACTATTGGCTTTTGTTGTTTTGAGACAAGTTCCCCAGGTTTGCCTCAAACTCATTATTTAGCCCAGGCTGGCTCTGAACCATCAAATTCTCCTGCAGAGATTAAAACCCTATGCCACCTGTCCACCTTTCTATTGAATTAACTCATAAATGTGTATTGAGCAATGAAGCTGAGCTAGAAAGGGCTCTGGAGAACGTGTGGTTTAATGCCATCCCTAGATCAAACTGTGGCTCAGAAAAGTAGAATGAGGTAGAAAGGGGTTGGATGGTAGTTTTTCTGAAATTAAGGATGTATTTAAAAACTTTATGAAAACCTATTATTTTGTAAAGCATATGTGTATACACAATATCGTTTCAGAAGACAAGAGTTATTAAAAAAAAATCCAGGGCCAGGTGGAGGTTTTGACCAGAGAGACCTGAGACCCCAAAACAATACAGGCTTTTGCCAATGCTCTTGGTTGCCTACCCTAACTAGATGTTAAGTCCCATATTGCTGAAGGCACAGCACTCTTTGGTTACAAGACAGAGAAATCAGGCTGGAACTGACACAGATGGCTTTGGCAGTGTTGGAAGGTGCTATGCAAACCACCGCGGGGAGAAAAGTCATGAATGGTATTTCCCAGTCATGCTACAGCACTGACATGCTAAGCAATGCATGCTTACCTGTGCAACGGTGGCATGCTTGTTACACAGGTAACCAGATCACTTTCTGACTGGGTGTGAGACCTGCCCCACAGGAGGGAATTAATGCCTGTGACAGTAAACTTAGTCAAAAGCCATGACTTAGGAGCTCATAGGCCCTATGGAAGGACCTACTACTGTTGTTTTGCTAAATGGACATCTTGTTAAACTGCCTTCTAAATATTTATGTTTACACCCATAGATTAATGCTGCTCTCAACCTTGGGAAGCAAAGTTTCTTTTTGTAGTGGGCATTAAAGCAGACTTATATCTGGTCAAAGTGGTAAGAGTAAGTACCCTAAATGGGACATCTTATTAATCCTGCCAAGGCTCAGGGAGTTGAAAGAATGTAAGACCCAGAGGATGAGGCATCTTGAGAAACGCTGTCTCCTGGACGTTTTACAGCCGTTGTCCTCAAGAATTCCCAGCTTCCTCGGTTGCCTACACAAGATTAAGTCAGCTAACTTTCCAGCACGGGTGGTGGCTGTAGGGTATCTTGCCTGAGCCTATGTAGATAACTACACAGGTCCGTGCATATGTGTGTGTGTAACACTAAGTCAACTTCGTGGGCTATTAAAAAAAAAAAAACCATGGAAATGGAAGAGGGATTTGGGGCAGGTATCCTCAATAGGGAACACAGAGAAGTTGGGGGTGAATCTGACCGAGATACACTGTACATATGTAATTGCCAATATATCTAAGGTTACACACACTTAACAAGGGCTTCCGGAACACACCCTATGAAATCTGAAAGAGGTGGAGTAGACGTGGCGACATCTAAGCTATCTGTGCCCAGCCTCAAGTCTGAATTACTCCTGCTCAATCACCACGTTGTGCAAAGGAGGTTGATCACAACAACCAGATCTGTAAGCGGGAAAGAAGTTCCACTGGACCTTGTATTGCTCTCTAGCAGACGGTCTGGGACCCATCGCTGCAGGGGCTGCTGGGAGCGGCTCACCTTTGAGGCTTCATCTGGGCTCGGCACTGTCACGAATTTCTGTCATCCTCACCAATACCCCATGCAACAGGCAATACACCCGTTTAAAGTGGCTTCAGGGGCTCCGAGAGAGTGATTTGCTCAAGGTCAGAGAGCTGAAAGCCTGCCTTTGATACACTAGACAACACAGCCAAAGGTGACACAGCAGGTCGAGGGCCTAAGCTGGTCACCAATCCCCAGGCCCCCAAAGAAATTCAGACCCGAACTTTCCGACTCTGAACGTTTCCTGCTGGAAGTTTTTTTGGCCCCCTCTTCCTCCGCACCCCGCTCAGGACCCGCGTCTCCGGGTTCCCGGGCGGTCGTCACCGCGGTCTGGGCGCTGCACGGGCTCCACTCCACGGCCGCGAGCCTCCCGGGCGCCGCCTACCTGCCGCGGGGCAGTCAGGGTCCCATCCACGTCGAAGAGGCAGAGAGCGGCCATGGCTCCAGTCAGAAGACTCGTTGGCACCCGGAACTGCACCCGGAACTTCCGGGTCCACACCGAGGCCCGTAGCCCAAGGCACGACGGGAAGAGGAGAATTCCCTAAATGACTCACAGCTGATACAGGATTTGAACTACAATCCCCAAGAACACAGACTCTTTTTTTTTTTTTTTTTAGTTAGCGCATGCGTCTTTTTAACCACCCGCGCACGCGCTCTTCAAGTTTCCGGGACAAGTTTATTTCTCTTAGCAGGAGACGGGATCATGGTAGGACTGGCAGGTTGTGGGCGGCGAAAGAGGATACGCGTTCAGGGGATCCTGGTTGGGCCTCGGACTGGCAGCAAGGATGCCAGGGCCGCCGATCCGGGAGCTCCGCCGGTGGAAGGCCGGCCTCCTCCGGGCCCCTTGGGTCACGTGGGCGGTCGGAGTCGCTGTAGCTCCCTGAGCGCTCAGCAAATTCAGGGCCTAAGAACCGTGTCTCCCTCAGCGTATGGTGTCTGTGGGAGCCGGGATCAGAGCCTTCCTCTGACTCTAAAGCCCAGAAGTTGCTTACTATGCTACTCACTCCAGAGAACCATTGTGCAGCGCGTTGGGGGCCCCCGCGTGTCTCACTTCCCCGCTTTCCCAACCAGGCTAATAGAAAGCAGTTCTCCTGACATAAGGCAGCCGGAGAACTGCAGAGGTACTGTGACAAGTACCCCACAGTTTTGGTGCTTGGGTTTCCCACTATGACACCGATTAGTTTACTCCTTGAGGAAGTGCCTCACAGACTTACGGACCCAAGTTCAAGTTTCCTGTTGGCTCTCAGTAGGTCTCTGCTGGAACTAAACCTTTCCAGTGTTTGTTTGGACCTGCCTAGGGGAAGGACTGGCCTGAGAACCAGACTTGGCCCCATTCGTTATGTTGAGTTGTCTTGTCTTTTCTTTCTTTTTTTTGATGGGGGTGGGTCTTAGTTTTTTAACTTAAAAAAAAAAAATGCCGGACAGTGGTGGTGCCCACCTTTAATTCCAGCACTCGGGAGGCAGAGGCAGGCGGATCTCTGTGAGTTCGAGGCCAGCCTGGTCTACAAGAGCTAGTTCCAGGACAGGCTCCAAAGCTACAGAGAAACCCTGTCTCGAAAAACCATAATAATAATCGTCATCATCATCCTGTGTGTGTTCAGTTCGTGTGCATATGCTTGTGCCATGGCCTGTGGGGGTCAAGGACATCCTTGCATGAGTAATTTTTCTTCCTCCACCATGTTGGCTTCAGGGATCAAATTCAAGTCACCTGGCTTGGTGGCAAGTACTTTTACTTGTTGGGATATCTCACTGGTTGGGAGTAGGGTTTATACTTGATGGGATATCTCATTGGTTGGGAGTAGGGTTTATACTTGATGGAATATCTCACTGGTTGGGAGTAGGGTTTGTTTACTTGCAAAAAGAAGAGTATGGTACTTATCCAGAGTAGAATTCCACAGAAAATAAAGTATTTAGCCGTTTAGCTTTATCATTCCGTTGGCAGCTCTGGCGGCTTTCCAGGCTTATCTGGAGCCTTTCTAGGGGCTTTGCTTCGTTCATTGGTTGTGTGCTCATCATGGTTGAATTCTGAAAGAAACCTCTCTTTTCCAGGCTGTCCTCCTTCGAGCCGTGCCAAGGTTTCAGGGGCCAGCTGTGTGGGGGAGGCCTCTTCATCGACTGTGGTACTGTACTGGGCAGGGAGATTCCAGAAGGTGGGTGGGGAGCACGTCCCCCACCTCACAGGAGAAGCCATCAGGCACAGAGACTGAAAAGTTCCACACAATCTACCGATTCAATGCCATCAGAGTACTCGGGTATATGTCTCGGCTGAAGTTGGCTCAGACAGCTATGACTGTGATAGCCCTGCCCCCGGGCTTCTACTCGTACTCACAGGGCCTCATGACCCTCAATTCTCTCTGCCTGGTGAGTGGGATTGCCTGCTTCGCCCTGGCCATGCTGTGCTGGATGAGCTACTTCTTCAGGAGGCTGGTGGGCATCCTCTATGTGAATGAGTCGGGTACCATGCTTCGAGTGGCTCACCTGACCTTCTGGGGATGGCGACAGGACACGTACTGTGCCGTGTCAGACATGATACCTCTGACAGAATCCAAGGACCCGGCCCAGGGAGTGTTTGTACGCATCCAGCAATACAGTGGCAAGCAGACCTTCTACCTTACCCTGCGCTATGGCCGAATCCTGGACAAAGAACGTTTCTCACAAGTGTTTGGAACCCTGACCACACGCAAGTAAAGAACAGCAACTAGGCCTCCCATATCCCTGGTTACACCGGATTTTAGAGGGGAAGGCCAAGAACATTGATGATGCAGAAGCTAATACCCATAGGCTGGGACTGAAGCTCCGCGGCAGACTGCTCATCTAGCATGCAGGCAGTAAAACCCTGCGCTCAATCCCTGGAGCTGCATATAAGCAGGCATGGCTATGTGTGCCTGTACTCAGCTCTGGAGATGGAGGCAGGTGGAGAAGAAGGTCAAGGTTGTCGTGGGCCAAAAAAGATGTTTAGGAAAAAGCCCTTGGTTGAACATTGTGCTCAATAGGGCATTCTAAATGCTATACCACGATCACCAAGGCAGCTCACTGCTATGAAACCAGAAGGCAGAGGAACATAGACTTGGAGTCTGGAGACTTGGGTTCTGCTGGACCTCAGCTCCTTGACTTGGGGCAGGGTATTAAGTCTCTGAGCCTTGAATTGCACTCTGTGAGATAGAAGAGCCTTCTTCTCTCGTGGGGATGGATGTGAAAATAGCCAGTAATGGCTGAGGCTGGACATGTAGCTGTGTGGTAGAGCTCTTGCCTAGCATGTGTAAGGCCCTAAGTTCCACCCTCAGCTCCACAGAAGAGACATACCAGTACATGCTACATGCTGTGCCAGGGCAGCAGCCCAGAGTTTACAGCACCGAGGGAGGCTTCCAGGCGGCTTGCCCCATTTGCACCCGCCAGCTTGGCGGCTAGTGCTGAAGCCTAAAGTGGGCTTGTTTTTCTCCCATCAGGAAGTCACTGTGATGTGGGATGTCCTTCTGTATATGTGTTGCCGTATTGGTTGGTGAATAAAGCTGCTTTGGCCTACGGTAGGGCAGAATAAACTTTGGGTGACTGTCCAGGCAGCAAAATGTCTCTGTCAATTCTAGAGTTTTGTTTACATAGGTAATATATCCTTCTGGAGTTTTTAATGGAGTTAAAGATTAGATAGTTACAGCTTTTCTTAGTTATGATAAAAGATAAATTAGATATAAAACTTTAGACTCACGAAGTATTGTAACTAATTTTTCCTTGGACTGTTGTATATGTAATTTTGCTGTGTTAAAGTTAAAACTTTCCTGGGGCTGGAGAGATGGCTCAGAGGTTAAGAGCATTGCCTTCTCTTCCAAAGGTCCTGAGTTCAATTCCCAGCAACCACATGGTGGCTCACAACCATCTGTAATGGGGTCTGGGGCTCTCTTTTGGCCTGCAGGCATAATACAGACAGAATATTGTATACATAATAAATAAATATTTAAAAAAGTTAAAACTTTCCTTCTTAATTAGACAGAAAAGGGTAGATGGCGGGAGATGTCCTGTGTGTGTTGCTTTTATTGGCTAATGAATAAAGCTGTTTCAGTCAATGACTTTGCAAAATGTAGCCAGGCTAAAAGAGATATAGAAAGTAGGCGGAGTCAGAAGTGCCATGTATATGCTGAAGGAGAAGGACCTGGAACCTTCCCAGTAAGCCACAACCTCGTGACAATACACAGATTAATAGAAACGGTTAATTTAAGATATAAAAGTCAGAAATACACCTAAACTATTGGTTGGTGCAGGACAATTCTGTATTCTGTCAATTATATTTTAAATAAATGCTGATTGGCCAGTAGCCAGGAAGTATAGATGGGATAACCAGACAGGAAGTACAAGTGGGGCAATGAGAACAGGAGAATTCTGGGAAGAAAGAAGCTCTTTCCCCAGTACTGCACAGACCACGGGAGAAGCAAGATGTGACCTAACCTGCTGAAAAAGGTACTGAGCCATGTGGCTAACATATACTAGAATAATGGGCTAATATAAGAGCTAATACAAAGCCTGAGCTAATGGGCCAATCAGTTTATATCTGTAGACTCTCTGTGATTTCTTTGGGATTTACTGGCTGTGGGATCTGGGCAGAACAGAAACCTCAGCAAGCAGGTCCTCATGTTACAATGGCCAAGCAGTATTATAATTAATATAGTTTTTGTGTGATTATTTGGGTCTGAGCAGTCGGGAAATGAACAAGCAGTCTGCCTGCATCACTACTTGCTGACAGGTAGGGACAGCACCAGCCAAGAATGTGTTGACTCCCAGGAGTGTCAGGGCCACTCACATCCTTGTCATCAGGATAGAGGGACTCTATCCAAGCCACAGTCTGCCAGCTGGAGGCTGGATATGCTGCTGCTTTTCATAACGAATAACCAACATGCTTATTAGGCAAATTGTGTCTGCATGGAGAGGAAAGCAGCTGCCCACTCAGAGTGCTTTGTTTTGTAATTTCCCTTTATTTATTTGTGTGTATACTACTGTGCATATGTGAAGGTTGGAGGATAACTTTCCAGCGTCCTTTTCCTTACACCATTCAGGTCTTGGGGATTAAATTCGGGTTGTCAGACTTGACAGCGAGCACCTTTACCCACTGTTGCTCTAACTATTCTTCCCTGATGTAAAGTAAACAGAGCCTGAAAAAAGATAACAACAGACATGCCACAGGGTGTTGGGGGAGTTATGGGGAGAACCCACCATAAGGCCTCAACTACACAGAGAACTACAGGCAACATAAGAATTCTGAAAGCAGCCTCTCGGTCCCATATTGAACTCGAGTTGGAAGAGGTGAGTCCGGTCTCAAAATGGAGGGCCATGATCCAAAGGAACCAGAACAGTTGAGGAAACTGTTTATTGGTGGTCTGAGCTTTGAAACCACAGATGATAGCTTAAGAGAACATTTTGAGAAATGGGGCACACTTACAGACTGTGGTAATGAGAGATCCCCAAACAAAACGTTCCAGGGGCTTTGGTTTTGTGACCTACTCTTGTGTTGAAGAGGTGGATGCTGCAATGTGTGCTCGGCCACACAAAGTTGATGGGCCTGTGGCGGAATCAAAGAGAGCCGTTTCTAGAGAGGATTCTGTAAAGCCTGGTGCCCATTTAACAGTGAAGAAAATGTTTGTTGGTGGTAGTAAAGAGGACACAGAAGAGTATAACCTGAGAGACTACTTTGAAAAGTATGGCAAGATTGAAACCATAGAGGTTATGGAAGACAGGCAGAGTGGGAAAAAGAGAGGATTTGCTTTTGTGACTTTTGAAGACCAAGACACAGTTGATAAAATTGTTGTTCAGAAATACCACACTATTAATGGGCATAGTTGTGAAGTGAAAAAGGCCCTTTCTAAACAAGAGATGCAGTCTGCTGGATCACAGAGAGGCCGTGGAGGTGGATCTGGCAATTTTATGGGTCGTGGAGGGAACTTTGGAGGTGGTGGAGGTAATTTTGGTGGAGGTAACTATGGTGGTGGGAACTATAATGACTTTGGAAATTATAGTGGACAACAGCAATCAAATTATGGACCCATGAAAGGGCAGTTTTGGTGGAAGAAGCTCAGGCAGTACCTATGGTGGTGGTGGAAGTGGTGGATATGGTAGCAGAAGGTTTTTAAAAAACAGCAGAAAAGGGCTACAGTTCTTAGCTGGAGAGAGAGCGAGGAGTTGTCAGGAAAGCTGCAGGTTACTTTGAGACAGTCGTCCTAAATGCATTATAGGAACTGTAAAAATCTGCCACAGAAGGAGCTATGATCCATAGTCAGAAAAGTTACCGCAGCTTAAACAGTAGGCCCTTCTTGTTCAGGACTGTCTGAGCCACAGTTTGCGAAAAGTACAGCTATTGATTAATGCAATGTAGTGTCAATTAGATGTACATTCCTGAGGTCTTTTATCTGTTGTAGCTTTGTCTTTCTTTTTCTTTTCATTACATCAGGTGTATTGCCCTGTAAATTGTGGTAGTGGTACCAGGAATAAAAAAAATTAAGGAATTTTTAACTTTTCAAAAAAAAAATTCTGAAAGCAGGAGAAATTGTCTTCCTCAGGGAAGAGCACACCAATTAGCTATTCACTAAGAAATGGTCGGCCCTGAAAACACAATACAGACTAAGCAGGTTCTCTTCAGAAACATACACGTGGGAGGGAAACGATACAATTATACTGTAACCACCAGAGTCAAACTTAAAAGTGTACGTATCGAATTGTAACCATTCGTGTTGTTCAGGGACATGAAGCACATCCTCAGTGTTGTCCAGCCATCACTGCTGGCCAGTTCTAATGCTCCTACTGCAGAGGCCAGCCTGTCTGCAGAGCGGGCTCCAGGACAGCCACAGCTACAGAGAAGCCATCTCAATAAACAATCCAACAAAATAACGCTTGATTGTCTCAAATAGGACTTCGGTACTCAGGTGTCAGGGACCAGCCCTGACATAAATCATTTCTCGTACCAGAGTGGAGGTGTGGGAATAAATGAAGCACGTTTCACACGATAGCACTGGGAGGGAGTTTCGGGATCCTTCATGAAATCCTAAATCCACACCCTGAAATTCACCCGTGTTTATTTTCCAAACAGCTTTTATATCAAAATGTAAACTGAAGGGGAAATTTCTTAGTAGATGACTTAGGTCACGTCTTGCCTGGCTATGTCCATGTTACCACATGGACTGAAAGACACCTCTTCCCTAGTAGACACACTGGGCCGTGAGAACACAGCCGTATTCGCAGGGTGTCAGAGACTAGGAGCTGCAACACTTTGAAGTTAAGTTAACCATGTAGAGCATCTAACTTTAGACTAAAAAATGTGAAAAATGTGAATAATAAACTTGGGGGGGGGGGGAAGGAGGGCTCAAAGGATAATGGTGTTTACCATCAACCCTGGCAGCTTGCCCTTGAGCCAAGGGACCCTGACAGAACTGAGTGCTTTGGGCTGTCCTCTGACAACCGTGGACAGTGGCATGTACACTCCTCTCTTCTCATATAATAAATAAAAACGGAAAAATCTTTGATCTTGTTTTGAACTCCCCCCCCCCCCCCGAAACAGGGTTTCTCTGTAGCTTTGGTGCCTGTCCTGGAACTAGCTCTTGTAGACCAGGCTGGCCTTATACTCACAGAAATCTGCCTGTCTCTGCCTCCCAAGTGCTGGGATTAAAGGTGTGCATCACCACCTCCCAGCTATGATCTTGTTTTGAGACAGGGCCTTTTGTATTTTGTAGCCCAGGCTAACCTCAAGTTTTCTGTGTAGCTGATAATGATCTTAAATTTGATTCTCCTGGGATGTTATTGGTGCGGCCTGGTTGCACCCAGAGGGCCACAAACCAGTTTAGAATTCCCAGTTTAAGGGACTGGGGATGTAGCTCAGTATAATGCTGAATCCTGGGTTCAATGTCCAGCACCACATAAATTGGTTATATTGGCAGAGACCTGCAATCCCAGACCTTGGGAGGTAAGAGGATCGGGACTCCTTGGCTATTTAATGAGTTTGTGGTCAGTCTGGTCTAAATTAGACTAGATGTCAAAACAACAGACAAACCAATAAGAAGTGTCTGCCCTTTTGTTTGCCGTTGGCTCAGTTTTATGATGGTAATACTTTCAAGGCCACCCAGGCCCTTCCCTGTTATTCCTACTGCCAGGTTCCCCAGGTGACTGCAGTGGCATGTCACCAACTACAAAGCTGCTAAGCCTGCCAGGGGCGCGCCTGTGAGAAGAGAGCCCTTGCTCTGTGGTCTGCTCACGAGGTGCCAGCAGAGGGCACACAAGTGTACTACTCTTCCCTACACCTCAGCTAAAATCAGAGCTCTCTCCACCAGTAACAGGATGTGGGTACGGTTCGGTAACCTCAGCAGGGCAGTGGTTTGAGCTATTTAGAAAACAAAATAAAAGCCAGGCTTGGTGGTGTAGGCCTTTAATGTCAGGAGGCGGAGGCAGATGGGTTGCTCTTAGTTTGAGGCCAAAATAGTCTTAGAAGTTCCAGGTCACAAGAGAAAAAGGCTTTTAGATTTAGACTGGCTATATTGGTGATTTGTCCCTTTGAAAAACAATTCTACAATAATAATCGTCTCAGTTCTTTTGGTGTGTGTATGTGTGTGTGTGTGTGTGTGTGTGTGTGTGTGTGTGTGTGTACGTGCACATGCTCGCTCATGTGCTGCTGCTGCTGGGGTTCCAGTTCAGTGCCTTGTACAGGATAGGCAAGCACTCTACCACTTAGCCACATCCCCAAACCTTTTGGGCTATAGCAAAAATAAGAGCCAGACATGGTTGCTTATGCCTAAAATCCCAACACTGGAAAAGTTCAGGCAGGAGAGGCTAGCCTGGGCTACAGAATGAGACTCAACCTGCCTTCCAACAAAGGCATGGTTGGTTACACATGACTGTGATCATCACTTGGGGAGCTGAGGCAGGGTGATCAGGAGTTCAAGGTTATCCTCAGCTACAAAGCTCTAGGCCAACCTGGGCTATCAGAGACAGACCCTG